AATGTTTAAAGAATGCATGTTCGAGTTTAGGCTGAAATTTCAACCCCCCACCCTTTTGATTGGGGTGGGGGGTTGGACCTGTAAATTGGTGTAGTAACTTGTACCTACTAGGGTAACATATTTCCAAAGTATAAAGGAAATCCAAGAACTTTTTTTTATTTTTGGGGCAGTTCAGGAATAATGCCTCCATTATGAAATTTAAAAATTCGATTTTAGATTCTTATTTAGCAACCTTAAAAAATTCTTTTTACCAAGTTGAATAAAAATCTATTAAAATATGTTCAAGTTATTTAAGTTTTTACATTACTAATTTTGTAATGGTTGATTGTTTATTTTATATGATTCATTATCAGTCAACTGGTTGATTTACTATACATCTACGAAGAATTTGTTTTCAGTTTTTCCATCCCTTAAAACAGTAGTATACTTGAAATAACTTGTTTCTTAAACCTCGTTTAACTACAGTGGTGTTTACATTTACCCCGAATTTTAGGAAAATTTCAAAATCTCGGAGTAAATGTAAGCAGTCAGTTTCAGCCGATTCAGGTGCATCAATATTTTTTTGTACCTCATAAAATTTTTCTAGGGAAGTAAAGTAACAAGTCCCTCCATGGCATGCTTCCCCACTTCCTATGGAACGATGGAGGAGTTAGAGCTTGCAGCGGAATATCTGCGAGATTCTATTATCTGTTCCTTTGAAAGGAACTGTGTAGTTAAGAAAATGGGCTTCAATGGGGGCGGTAAATGGTGGACCCCCCGTTTGGAGGAACATAGGAAAACTGTAAGAAAGCTTTTTAATAAAGCCAAGAAACGTAGGCATCAGCGAGCATGGGATGAATATCATACCGCTCGCGATTCTTACAAGAAAGAAGTAGAGAGGGCAAGGGGTGTCAGTTGGAGAAGTTTTTGCGAGGGAATCGAGAGGGTACCAGAAGCTTCAAGACTTCATAAAGTACTAGCTCGAGACCCAATGGCAAAATTAACTACTATTAAGCTGCCTAATGGGCAGTATGCCCAGGATAAAAGGGAGTGTCTAAAGCACCTGATGGAGGTAAACTTCCCGGGCTTTAGAGAAGGTCTGGAGAACAGCCATGGCATAGGACCAGGTAGGAACCGAGGAAATCGGAAACACTGGAAACTAGCAGCCAGGGTTGTAACTCCGGAAGGGATTGATTGGGCAATAAGCACTTTCAAACCATTTAAAGCTTCAGGGGGGACGGTATATATCCGGTTCTTTTGCAAAAGGGATTGGATTGTATTAGAGTACCCCTGTGTAAAATTATGAGAGCTTGCGTAGCTCTAAGTTATACACCGGAGTCTTGGAAAAAGACAAGGGTTGTGTTTATTCCGAAGGCCGGTCGGTCAGGGTATACTGCGGCGAAGGACTTCAGGCCAATTAGCCTAACCTCTTTTATATTAAAGACGTTAGAGAAACTGGTGGATAATTTTATTAGACAGGAATGTCTTAGAGATTTTCCCCTACATCAGGGACAGCATGCATATAGAGCAGGCTTCTCAGTAGAAACAGCCCTCCATTCGGCAGTAGGCAGAATAGAGGGACAAATTAGCAGCGGGGGTTATGCGGTTGGCACCTTTCTTGATATCGAAGGTGCCTTCCCTAACACTTCTAGTAAAGCCATTTGTAGGGCAGCCAGGATGCGAGGTGTGCCCGAGCCGCTAGTTAAGTGGATCGATAGCATGCTTCGAGAAAGGGCCCTGGAAGCGGAATATGGTGAGGCTAAGGTAACAGGCCTGGTCTCAAAAGGGTGCACACAGGGTGGAGTTGGTGGTTTACACACCAAGCTTCCACGCTCAATTCTATCAATACCAGAATTAAGTATGGTGCAAGATAGAATGATCAAGAGGGTGAAATTTAAACTCCGCTTTAAGATCATTACACCTTCCAGAATAGACTGGAAGAAAGGTTTTCCACTTGGGGACGAAGTCTGGTATACAGATGGCTCCAAGATAGACTGCGGTGCAGGCTTCGGAATTTATCGGAAAACTGGCCGCATTAAAGTGGCTGAGTCATTAGGACAATATGCCACGGTCTGGCAGGCAGAGGTCTGTGCGATTTTAACTTGCGCTCAAATATCCATTCGAAATGGAACAAAGGGCAAGAGGATTAGTATTTGTGTGGATAGTCAAGCGGCCTTAGGGGCTCTGAAAAATCCCGCAATAGAATCAAAACTCGTCTGGGAATGCCGCAGCGTACTAGATGAGTTGGGTTCAGTAAATAGACTTTCATTGATTTGGGTACCGGGACACTCGGGAATCAAGGGTAATGAAAGAGTAGACGTCTTGGCGAAAACCGGTTCCGAGACGAAATTTATAGGTCCTGAACCAGCAGTGGCAATAATGCCATGCTTGGTTAAGGGAGCCATAGAAAGATGGGGTGAAAAGGAACATGAGAAGTATTGGGCGAGCGTTGGGGTGGGAAGGCAAGCGAAAACTCTGTTGGGGTTAGCACTTAACAAGAGGCGAGCGAGCGATCTCCTAAAACTCGATAAGATCAGAGTTAGAACCGTAGTTCGTCTACTTACGGGTCTCGGACTATTGAACTACCATCAGCATAAAATAGGCAGACAAGTTTCACCTATGTGCAGACTGTGTGGGGAAAGTAACGAAACTTCGACTCACATATTATCTGAATGCCCAGCGTTAGCTAGGATCAGGCTATCTAGCTGGGGTCAAGCAATTATTGACCCTAAGCAGGTGAGCAACCTATCGATAGAAGAGATACTGGACTTCTGGAGAAGAACAGGACTCTAAGAAGTTGCTATAAACGATCGAACTGGAGTCTGGTACAATGGGTTCTATAACCTAGGTGCTTACTTTCCCCTCTTGAGGAAAATCCAGCTCGATCTCGGTGCCAGATTAGATTAGATTAGATTAGAAAGTAACAAGTTTATGCAAAAGAAATCCGTCCATTTTACCTTTTAACAAAAAAAAAACTAATGTTTTTGGTGAAAAATAGATATTCCTTTTACATTTACCCCAAATGACCCTACCTTTAATTGATTGTTGCAACTATTTTTATAATGTTTCAGTGAATTTTTGTATGGTGGCCACCTTGGGGACACTTTTTTTAAAGCAAAATTGCAGCTGTTTTTCCAAAGTTTTATTTTTCTTAGCAAAATAAAAAAATTTTGTTACTTTAAAGTTAGCTAAGGAGATACAGTTTCAGGGCATATATTATTAATTATGTTATATAATACCGTTTAGGAATTACAGTCGTTCAAAAGATGGGTGGCCACCTTGGGGCCCCTTACCCTTATTAATTTTTTTATAAATGTTGTAATATTTTGTTAATGCAAAAAAAAAATAACAAAAATTTCAGATTTCAAAAAACGCTTAAAAGTGTTTTTTGTTTTGTTGTGAAGTACAGATTTCTATAAAAGTTTTAACACTTTGGAAAATCAATAAAAAAATTTTAACACAGTTGAACTGGTCTAGCCCAAAAACTTTAAAAAAATTGAGTTTTTATGAAAAAATGTTATATAGAAAAGTTGTTTGTATTTTCCTGATCTAAAATAATGTAAAGTTAAAAATTTGAAAATTTTGAAAAATTGAGTTTTCAAAATTTTAAAACCACTGTAGTTTTTGTAGTTTTCAACGAAAATGGCTGGTTAACGAACTTAGCCTTCATTTTAACACCAATTTTAAGTGTGTTAAATTTAAAAAAGATCCGATAAGTTTTTCAAAAGTTATTGTGTCTACAAGTTTTTTGTCTACAGACAGACAGACGCAATCGCCGGACTATGTTTTTTGGATTTAGGGGATCCTAAAACGTAAAGATTTCATAAAATTAGCGAAAATCAATTTTCGACCAAAACTAATACTTTCTCATGTGATGTAAAAACATTTTGTGAATCAAATTAAAGTTAATAAAATTAATCAAAATATATCGTTGTTCACTTTTAGGTTCAAAATTTTAGAAATATAATAAGTAGACTAAACTGAAAATAAATTATATCATTCAAATAACCGATTACTTATATATTGTCAAAAAAATATTTACTTGAGTCAAATTATTTTTAATTAATTTAATTAGGTGGTATTTGCTTCAATTACTGAAATTAATGATTAAAATACAACTTAATTGTCTTAAGTTAAAATTATTTCATTCAAGTAAACATTTATTTAATAGACGATAAATAGTTAATTGAATCAAAAAAAAATTTTTATACATATATATATGTATGTATATAATAATAATAAAAATAATTAGAATTAGTCGTAATCAGCGACCTAAGAACCCCTAGATAGCGATAGACGTGATGATTAGAAAACTTTTTCAAAATTGTCGTCCGCCATATTCGATCCGCCATTTTGAATTTTGACTTTATATTCGTAATCAGCGACCTCAAAAACCCATAGATAGCGATAGACAGGACGATTAGAAAATTTTTTCAAAATTGTTGACCGCCATATTGGGTCCGCCATTTTGAATTTTGGAATTCTGACCCCGAATTCGTAATCAGGGACCCCGAAAACCCCTAGATACCGATCGACGTGTAAATCCAACATTCTGAAAAATGTATGCATTTGCAAGTGACTTTGTAGGTGGAAACGTATGCATAGGAGGATTAAAGAAGTGAAATGAAACTATAAAATTCAATTCTCTAACTGTTATTTTGACGATATTCTCAACTTTAGCGAGAATTTATAGATCGATAATCATTCGACATGCGACACTTCTCATATTTGTTAATCTCAATGTTTTTTAAATTAACTAAGACGAATGAGGGATAAAATCAAAAAATTATTAAGTTAACAGTAATTTATGTTTCAATTAAATACGAACTTTATTTATAATGTATAAAATGTGAAATACATTTTACATTTTCTTTGTTTAAATATATTTAAGCAAAGAAAAGTATACACTAAAGAAATTTTTTAGACAATATACCAACCTTATTAATAAAACATAATAAAATTTACTTCATTTGCCTATTCAAATTATTATATAACTAAAATGAAAGTATTTAAAAACTTACAAATTTCCTAATTGCAGGTAGCTTAGAAACATTTTTCACGGTTTATAAAACCTTTCGAGCAAGTTAGCCAAATTAAAAGGCTTTGAATAAATGCAACAAGTTAGAGATTCGAGAGTTTTATGAATTCATATAAAAAAGATTCCAAACGCAAATATTGAAAAGAGTATTACTCAATCTTAACATTCAAGGTAACGGTCAAGCAAGCACTAACAGGTTGTAAAGTTGAGAGACTAGTCTCATCTTTATCTGCGAAATACATTAACTGCTTGAGGCAGTAAACGTAAAAATTTTGTTGGACTTGTTTTTACTGATTCTTACTTCTAGGTATCGTTTCACGTACCTCTCGACCTTACCTGTTATTTTGGCTATGGATTCATATAATTTAGGATGGCCTAATAATTGTTTATAAGGAACAAAATTCCTTAAGTGTCCTATTAAAAAAATAAAAGTTGTCCAATTTTGTCTAAACTTTTCGGAAGTCTTGTCATTATTAATGAAAAAAGGTCTTAAAAATAGAAAAGTAATTATTAATGAAAGTATAAATATTAAATATATTTTTATCTTACATAATATTTTTTGAGTTAAACAGTTTCAAAGTTTTTACTTTTCATATTCTGAACACATGAAAAGGTATAATTTTTTATCGAATTTTTAGTTTTGCTGATTTTATGACATTTTCACATATATAGGACTATATGTTATATAAGACCCTGAACAATTGTCCGGATGTATGTATGTGTGTGTATGTGTGTGTGGATCCCGATTTTTGTGAACACGATAACTCGAAGAGGTTTTAACGAATTTGGCTAAAATTTACCAGGTATATTTATTATAAAAATATCTCGAAATAGATTGATCGACTTTAAAAAATTCTCAAAAAAAAATTTTTTTTTCAAAAAATTTTTTTCAAGTTGGTTATTGAAGTTAATATATAATAAAATCTTATTCTTTGCATCAAGACGAATCGATTAGTATATAAAAAGTATAAATTGTATGAGAATTTACAGAGTTAATCACAATTAAACCTGAAAAATTCGCATTTTTATCAAAAAATGAGTTCTTTCCGCAAAATTATGTTGCCGTATAAGAAATGAAAACCTTACTCATTTATTTATAAAATCTTATTCTTTGCACCAAGACGGATCGATTGGTATATATAAAGTATATATTGTATTTAAATTTATAGAATTAAAACCAATTATAGATAAAAAATTTGCACCTTTAATAAAAATTAATTTTTTCTTAAAAATCATGTTGCTGTACAATAAAATGCTATTATTTATTAAAAAATAAATCAAAAATCTTATTCTTTGCATTAAGTCGAATCGATTGATGTATATAAAGTAATATATTCTATTAAAAATTATAGAATTAATTACAATTAAAGTTGAAAAATTCACTTTTTTACCAAAAATTTTTTTGTCTAGGGGAGAGTCTCCAGTTGTGAGACAGTCAATTTTTTTTAACATGCAATATTAAAAAGCCGATTGGTTTATATCATGAAGGAGTATAAGGAGAAGTATGTATATGTTTCCCTACCCAGTAAGAAACGAAAAATTGAAAAGGATTGAAATAATTCAAACTCTGTATGGTGTAGTAGAAATTATCCAATACTTTTGAATGCCATTTCTGTCCAATACTTTTCTATACCATGATAGGACCACGTTTCGTCTAAAAATGAATGCTGTTCAATTCTTTTTGTAATTTTTAACAAAGACAAAATTTTTTTCTGAATGCTTTCCAATTATCCCATCCGAAATTATTACAGCCTGTCATTATATCACTTTCAATTTTTCATTGGAACCGCGTTTCTGCATGCATTCAAGCAATCTTCTGGATTTTTGTAATTTATAAGATACATACAGTGGCAGATTTTGTAAAAAGTGTTTGTGTTCAAAGAAAAACTTGCTGAAAAATTGATTGTTTACCAATTTAACGTCATTTAAACGAGTCAGGGCCGTTATTCTGTTAGACAATAAATCATAACCTAAAAATTTCAGAGACCTTTAAACACTTTTAACCCTCTTAACTGATAATTTAATAATTATTCCTTTTTAAAATAGCAAATAAATTCATGAGTGCAGTTATTTGAAAGTAATTGAACATTCTATATGTCAAAAATATTAGTATTATATTATTATACTACTGTCGCGGAATTCAGAAGCATAGGGCAGAAATGGTATTCAAAAGGATAGAATTTTTTAATGCTTCTTAATCTTTGCTTTCTTACTGGGTATTCAAGAGGATTGATATCGTTACTATTTATATTGCTCTCACTGGATAGAAAAGTATTGGACAGAAATGGCATTCAAAAGAATAGAATCTTTTTAATACTTTTCAATTTTTCGTTTCTTACTGGGTATTGACTGTACTTGACTGCGTAAAATCGCCATGCACGAAAATTGGCATACCGGAAATTTGTTCACTGATATTAGCGCCCCTACAGGAGAAAATATATACCCTCCATGCTGTCCATGATAAAAGTTTTGTTTACGTAGTTTTTTGGTTATGTACCAAGTTGATAATAACAATAAAATAATAGTTATATGAATTGTTTTATAAAAAAATTGCATGTCTAGTTATAAAGCAAATAAAAATGCTTCTGAAAAAAGTGTTTTTTCAAAGCACCGAGAATGATAAGTTTATTTAATATACTATTTTGTAAGGGTAAAAGTTTTTATACTTTTACCAACAGACATTTATGAATTTAATGCAAAGAATTTTTGGTTGTTTATTTGAAGTCCTTTCTATTTATATAACGTATAAAACTATTTAATTCTGTTCATCTATTTTACAATACAACACTCAGAGGATCCTCTAACCTTAAATATCAATCAGCTGTCAAAGATAAAAATATACTTAAAATGTAAAATTGCACTTATTTCTCCCGTTTGGCGGCGCTGTTATCAGTGAACATGAGGCTATTACTTTTCGCGTGCCTGTCGATTTTACTGCAGAGAAGTACAGTCAATATCAGGAAATTTTCCCATTGGAGATATGTCTCCTTATACTCCTTCATGGTTTATATAAAAACATTTCTTTTTATATGAGCCAACTTTTTCGTGTACGCCGAAGCGGATATATAAACTGTTTTTGTTAAATACCAACACTGTGTGATAATCGACTAAAAAGCGTTTTTTCAATAAATGCAAAGTACTTTTTTTCCAAGTTAATTAATTGGAAAAGGTAAATGTAATGCATTTTCTATTAGTGTTTTCCTTATATTTTGTGATGCAATATTGCATTGTTCCAATCTACGGTTGAAAATAATTTAATTTTCCTTTTTCAAAATAGCGATAATTTCTGGGTATGAAACACAGCTTATCACCAGTTGTGAGACGGTGTCAACACCCATCTGGGCAGCATAAAAAATACGACTTTGCAGGCATACTATTTAAATGTTTTTTTATATTCTCATCATATGAGAAAGTATTAGTTTTGGTCGAAAATTGACTTTCGCTAATTTCATGAAATCTCGACGTTTTGGGGTCCCCTGAGTCCGAAAAACATGGTCTAAAAAAAGTGTCTGTCCGTATGTCTGTCTTCGTGTCTGTCTGTAGACACAATGGTGTCGCCACGATAACTTTTGAAAAACTTATTGTATCAACTTGCAACTTTGCATGCACAAAGTTAGTGTTAAAATACAGATCGAGTTCGTTAGCCAGCCATTTTCGTCGAAAATTACACAAACTACAGTACTTTCAAAAATTTAAAAATTCAATTTTTTCAAATTTCAATGTTTTTAACTTTATATTACTTTAGATTAGAAAAATACAAACAACTTTCCTCTACAACATTTTTTCATAGAAAGTCAAATTTCGGAGTTATAGGCTCTTAAATAACAAAAAAATACTCAAAAATCCGAAAATAACGCTAAAAATCAAAATTTCTCAAAGAGAAAAAAATTATTACATTAATTTCCACATATTCTCACCCCATTGTACTCAAAAAATGCTCACATTAACCAAAAACTAGTAATTTCCGGAAAAACCACCGTATATATATATATTTTTTATCATTTTTTTAACAAAAAATCCATATTCCGACTCAATTATCTCCAAAACTATTGCCTATGGGAGCTTGCTTTCAGAGACTTTTTTTCTCCTCTTACCATCAGCTACAACTTTGCTGTTGACAACTTTTCACTAAACTTAAAACTTTTCGACTTATTTGCAAAAAACTAATTTTTTATTACATTCTCATCATATGAGAAAGTATTAGTTTTGGTCGAAAATTGACTTTCGCTAATTTCATGAAATCTCGACGTTTTGGGGTCCCCTGAGTCCGAAAAACATGGTCTAAAAAAAGTGTCTGTCCGTATGTCTGTCTTCGTGTCTGTCTGTAGACACAATGGTGTCGCCACGATAACTTTTGAAAAACTTATTGTATCAACTTGCAACTTTGCATGCACAAAGTTAGTGTTAAAATACAGATCGAGTTCGTTAGCCAGCCATTTTCGTCGAAAATTACACAAACTACAGTACTTTCAAAAATTTAAAAATTCAATTTTTTCAAATTTCAATGTTTTTAACTTTATATTACTTTAGATTAGAAAAATACAAACAACTTTCCTCTACAACATTTTTTCATAGAAAGTCAAATTTCGGAGTTATAGGCTCTTAAATAACAAAAAAATACTCAAAAATCCGAAAATAACGCTAAAAATCAAAATTTCTCAAAGAGAAAAAAATTATTACATTAATTTCCACATATTCTCACCCCATTGTACTCAAAAAATGCTCACATTAACCAAAAACTAGTAATTTCCGGAAAAACCACCGTATATATATATATTTTTTATCATTTTTTTAACAAAAAATCCATATTCCGACTCAATTATCTCCAAAACTATTGCCTATGGGAGCTTGCTTTCAGAGACTTTTTTTCTCCTCTTACCATCAGCTACAACTTTGCTGTTGACAACTTTTCACTAAACTTAAAACTTTTCGACTTATTTGCAAAAAACTAATTTTTTATTACATTCTCATCATATGAGAAAGTATTAGTTTTGGTCGAAAATTGACTTTCGCTAATTTCATGAAATCTCGACGTTTTGGGGTCCCCTGAGTCCGAAAAACATGGTCTAAAAAAAGTGTCTGTCCGTATGTCTGTCTTCGTGTCTGTCTGTAGACACAATGGTGTCGCCACGATAACTTTTGAAAAACTTATTGTATCAACTTGCAACTTTGCATGCACAAAGTTAGTGTTAAAATA